GACCTGCAGCTTCGTCAGCCTGCGAGGGGAGCAGCCAGAGAAGGACAAAGTGCCAGATGGATTTTGTTTTCATTGCAGCTGCTGTTTGTCTTATGTTGTCTTGTCTTGCTGTTAAAGGTACATGTAGGATCCTGTGTCATTGAATGGGTGGACAATAGAGTGTGGGAATTTTAAAGAAAGGTCCACTGGGATGTATTTTGGCTCATTGGAAAGACCTGGGTGGTGTTCTGGGAGACACTGTTAGTAAAAGGGACTTGATCAAGTGTTGTCATAACTGGTGGCCTTTGTATTAGTCGTAGGATGGTGCTAAGTGGCCTAAGACTGAGCTGTTGGAAAGTAATACGTTGCTACAGTTCGTGTTGTTTTTAAGACAGGAAGGCAAGCGGGATGAGGTTGGATATGCAGAAATGTTTTTCACTCTGAGGAACCATCTGGAATGGCAAAGGGACTGAGGTACCAATCGGGCACCACAGGATGGACCTGGTTTGAGCCAGGATGAAGCCACTTTTCCTTTGACTGGTTTAATTTCCTTCAGTAGGCTCTCTTTAACTAGCAGTAAGTGTTCCAGCTGGGACTGAAAAAAAATGCTGGAATGTTTTTCTAACTGCTGGGGCTTCAAGGTCACATCTTCACTCTGCCAGCTCAGACACTACAGGGAGATCTCTGACCCCCCCACAGGAGGCTGAGTTAGACAGACAGCAAAACTGGCCAGAGATATTCCCTTCCATAGAGCTACATGATCTCAGAGGAAGGTCAGAGATGACACAAGACAACTTCCTTCCAGCTTCTTCTTCCCTTCTCCTCCACCCACGGCTGGCATCCAGGGAAGACTCCATCCTTCCATCCCTCCTCAGGCTCGTGCACTCCTGCACCTCATCATTCTCCCCTCAGCTCCTGGCTGCTCTGCCCTCTCTCCAGCAGCTCTGGGACATTTCTGGGCTGCTCCCAGCGCAGGAGATGCCGGGGGGGAGCTGAGAGGGGGGGCGGGAAAGATGCCGGGGGAGGCAAGAGGGTTTTGCACATTCCTGAACAAGCTGTCTAGGTTAGTTTTCCATTAAGAAAGTCTCTCTCCCTCACTCTCTCTCTCCTTCCCTACCCGGGGGGGAGGGGGAGGGGATCCAGAGCGTTATTGTCGCCGGTTCAGTTGCCGATCCTGAGTCAAATCGTGTCACCCCTTCACCGAACAAGGTCCCTGTTTGGGAGCAAAGGATGTGGGTTCAGCTAAAGCTCCCCAGAAAAATCTCTCTCTAACCACCACAAAGGGGCACCAGAGACCAGCAAAACGCTCCCGGGAGGGTTTCGAACTCTCTTTTGTGCAGGCGAATTGAGACATAGAAACATTGTGATCAGTTCGAAGAAATGTTTTCCATGTTCCGAGATGATCATGAACATGTGGTAGGTCTATATAAGCCAATAATAAGTGATGCTTAAGATTGTTGCATGACCCTGGCAGCTGCTCCACGTGCTGCCGTTCCCTGCAGAATGCTGCTTTCCTGAGCACCGAAACGGGTCGGAGAGAGTTTTTTG